TTTCACAGGGACGGGGGAACAGGCTGACCGTGGACCGTGGGTGTCTTAATACATGCTAGAGAGTGAAAAGAGTCTTAAACAACAGAATTTTCAAAATCCTTGTAACAAGATTTAGGAAAATGATATTCATTTCAAAAAAGCATTGTTGTACTTACATTCATGAACATCACTAAAATCCAAAGGCCTTTTCTGGTTAAACATTTATCATTTGTGGGAGTGCTAAACTTGTTCTTCCTGTTTTTCAGTTTCTAGAAACTTGTCCCTCGTTCTATGTGAATTATATGCCCTGAGATTATCCTTTACACTGATTCTGAGTGTAAGTGGGAAGCTTCTCATCTGAGCTTGAAGAATGACATTTGTATTTAGAATATTTCAATATGCAGCTGTTCTGTACATCTGGCACAAGCAGGTTTGCACAGCACATTCTTTAAAAGAGCGAGGTTGACTATGGAACGGAGTACATGGATTGTTTGTACTGTACATACAACTCTGGCAGTCATTTATCAAAGCAACGATAAGTCAATACGTGGGCCGGGAACCCATACCACTAATGCCTGGATATCAGTACATTCACAAAGCTGAGTTAAAGTTAAGTTTCTAAAAGAATCACTGGAGCGTCTAAAAGCACTGAGCCATCAAGAGTTTAACAGTGGTCCTTGTTACCGCTAATAACCTGAAATTTGCTAACTACTCAGACATTTACGTCTATAGGAGCTGTGCCTCGGCCAGGTCTTTCTCAAACTGTTTAAATCTCGCTTGGTAAGGAAGAATGTCTTCAACCGTGTGATATTAAAAAATGCAAATTGATTTTTCTTAGAAATAAGTTTATAGGTAAGAAACGTTCCTAAAAATTAAGACCAGCAATTGAGCATTCATAACAATCTTTTCCACCAACCTAAAAGTTTAATACGATGCAGAAGAGCATGTCTGCCACTTTACCCTCACTGACGGAGAGGCAAAAACAAGCCACGGTTTTCTCATTCTATGGATAAGGACACAATCAGGTAGCCTGAGGAATTAGGGGAGCCCCTGCATCCCGCCATGTCCACTTGGTACACAGTAAGGATCAAGCTACTGCCGCCAAATTCTAACTTTAGATTAATACCTCTAAACTCTGAAAACACTGTTAGGTAGGTACAGGACAGTCTTAGACCTTAGAAAAATGACCTTGTGCTGTTCTTTACATAAACGCTCTCAGGTCTAGCAAAAGTGTCCAAGTAAGGATTGACTGATGGCGCAGAGCAGGGGAATGTTGTGCTCGCTTAGGCTGCACATATACTAAAAAGAGCAGGGGAATGTTAAGCTTGAAGCTCTGGCCAGAAAACCCAGGACATCCTCTGTCCCTGCTGGCCTTCCAAAGTGCACAGCACTTCCTTCAGAACTGTAAGAATGAACACCAATGACTTTTCTTCCACCATATTTTCCTCTTCTACACTTGCTGGCTTGTTCAAGTAGCAGCACTGTGGAGCAACGTTCTCCACCTTCTCCCATCCCAGCTGCCCTTCCCAGACGGGAGCGGAAGGTTAGGTTACATACATCCTCTGCCCTAACTTCACACAGCAACAGATAAAGCTGACTGGCACTATTATGCATACTTCGCAGGTCCCCACAAGGAATTCCAGCCCCGCCCTAATCACATTTATTGAACAGTTACTGTGTGCCATATACCTGAAGTGTGCTACGTTTGAAACTAATTTAATTCCCATAGCAACCTATGAGGTGGACACTACCATGATCCTCAATTTATATAAGAAAAACGAGGCACAGAGAGTTCAAGAAACTTCAAGTCACAAAGCTAGTAAACATTGTGGTTCAAATCCAGATACTGCGCCCCTGGGCTTCTCCTCTGCCACACTGTTATCAAAACACATGAGAAAATCAGTGCCAGACAACCTCCTCCAGCACATTTTTCAGTCTATTATCTGTGATATTTTGCTATTAATAGGACATTACTTAGAATGTAGGTCATAATTGACGGGGACTTGCTAGATATACACAGAACTCTACCAACACATAAAACTTAAGACACTGTCTTAAAAGACCCCAAACACGTAACAGTTTAAACTTAAAATTACTGCAAATGGTTTGAGAATTTACTGCTTTCCCATTCAAACCATGAAATGTAAAAACTCTGCTTACTTTTTAGTAAGACTTGGTAGCCACAACTTTTTCTATTTATGCACTAGGTGTCCATGGTATGAAAATTGAACATTCCAACTTTTATGTATATTAACGATGAATCAAAACTCAAATCCCAATGTTTCTTGGGGAAAAACAACAGAAACCAAAAGCCAAAGAGCTGTCCTGAGACTGTAAGATTGTGCCAAGCTGAAGACAGAGCTTCCACCTTTTGATGGAAGCACTACTGCTCTAATGAAGAAGGAACACTGCTTTGAGAAACTAATTAAAATTAATTAGAAGTTGCAAGTACCTCAGATGTAAAACTATGCAAAATGTAAAGGTACTTTCAAGGTGAATTTTCAGAACTTCACTTGAACTAATTTAGTCTTCTAAGTATTCCCCTTTCACAGAAAATATCAACAGCAGATAAAATGTTTTACAAATTGCAGATTATGTGGCTTTTTGAACAACACTCAAAAAGAATGTAACAATGAAATAGAAAACAAACCAAATACAACTTTATAAGAAAAATGCTGAGTTTATTTCCATCATGCTATCTTCTGAACAGAAATATAAGAGATAGGATTGTTTTTTAAAATCAAGTTTAATTCACCTTAAAAAACGCAAGTGTGATTGCTACTCCAAATAGATTCTATCTCACAACTTCTCTGCTATGGACTATTTAATGACAAAGTCAAATAATGCCATCTATGGGAAACCTTTAGAACAACAGTTAAATTTCTGTGACATTTTTCTTTGAATATCTGAAATCTGAGTTAACATATTTAATATCACTCAGGAAAACTGTAAGGATAAAAAATTGAAAACATATGAGTATAAAAAGCCCACTAACATTCTAGATTATTAATACTTATTAAAATAATTAAAACTAGCCCAATTTTACCTCCAAATTCACCACACAATCCATAGATCCTTGTATAAAGAACTACAGAGTAAGACATAAAGCTATGCGAGCTCAAAGTCTTTATAGTGAGTACACAGAAGAGTCTCAAGTCACAGAGGTAAAACCTGTAACAATTTTCTTTTTCCAGTAGTTAAATCTTCCCTTCCTCTTGAGTAGCACCACCTTCATGGTCAAATGTTTTAAATTTCCAGGTACAGTATTTTAACAGTCTATTTCAGGTTGTCAAACTCAGTCCTGTTCATTTTACCTATTTCACAAAGCATTCCATATCAATTTTTTTCCTCTTTATGCAGCACTGGTCTTCTGTAATCACAAGATGATTTTTAAATTTTTTTTTTTTTCTTTTTGAGACAGGGTCTCGTTATACAGTTCAGGCCGGCCTTGAGCTTACTTTGTAGCCCAGGCTGGTCTCAAACTCACGATCCTCCTGCCTCAGCCTCCCAAGTGCTGGGATTATAGGCATGTGCCACCACTCCCGGCTTAAAATATATTTCAACTCTTCTCTCTGTTCTCTCCCCCTTGGGCAGCAGATGCTAAGGTTTTCTTATTGTGTGGTTTTCAATCTCAACATCAATACTATCCAGAGCCCCTGGACAATACCACATCTCTACTTAGCGGGATGAGGACTGAGAATGGCTTTTTCTTGTTTGTTTGGAGAATGGCTTTTTCTTGCTGTCACTGCCCCAGGTGATCTCATGAGAGCCGGGATTGAGAAACACTGCCTTCCTGGGGGTTGCAACCCTTTTCCTAACTGCTACAGTGCATTCTGCTAAGCATAATGCCCACACGCTCTCATGCAGTTTCTCCAGGCACGGCAGTGCTGTGCAGACGGCCAGCTATATTCTGTGGCGCCCTGCTGGCAACGTCGTACCTCCCGCACCTGCCTTCTCATCGTCTGCCCCACGTTGCTGCCTAAGTGTTTCAGCCCCCAACTCATCAGTTCTCCTCTGCCTCACAGTGCCCGCCGCACTCCAACTCTATCCCCATGCCCAGTCCATCTGCTGGTCAAACAAACGCATCCCAGTGAGGACAAGCTGGTCTTCCCTTCATACCGGCTTCTTGAACGCTGTGGCCATCCAGCCCTAAGTGTAGAACACCGTTCCCTCGCTACAAACTAAACCCCGTTCCCAACAGTGCTCCTCCAGAGGGCGAGCCCTCCCCTCCCAGGCGTCCCTGGCTGGCTGGGAACCGTGGGTGGTGAGAGCGCAGGTTCCTGAGGCGGCTCCCCATGCAGTAGGCCCTGCAGTGTTCTCTGATCCTATGATGTTGGCGTTATTCAACGGGAAGAACAATCTCTCTTAGCTTTGTTACAGAGGTATGCAAGTGAAGGCAATGGGTAAAGGAGTGGGCCTAGCAGGACAGGGAAAGGCAAAGTAAGCAAGGCTGTGACCAGCAAAGACACAGGGAGGCTGATGTCAGCCTGATTCCCCAGGAAGCTACGGTACAAATTGCACCTGTCTGGGGTAAAGAAGTTGGGCTTTCATACAGTAAATCTAGGGGCCAAAACCCACAGGCACTAACGTTACGTGAAAGGGAGAGGAGGGCGTAAGAGGGATGTGAGGAGTCAGGCTGGACTACTACAGTCAATGTCAAGCTTATTTTTTTAAAACAAATTTTACAATGTTATGGAACCAGCCAGAAAGTGGTCATCTGTCCTTAGATCTCACTAACAATGGCTAGGGCTAGTAACTACCAAAGCTTTACACATTTAAATTACACTCACTGCGTGAGGAACACTGCTTCACGAAATGTTATGGTGCTAGGAACAAACTATGTGAAAAAGAAGAGTAGAACAAACTGTAAAGCTTTAAGTGAGCCTGCGAGGAAAAAACTATTCTCTGATTTTGAGTGTCAAAGTCTCTAGGCAGAGCTGCTTTTCTTTTTCTGAAAAGCACTTACCTGTTTTATCATTTTTTTTTTCTTTAATTGTGTTTTTGATAGATTCACCCAGTCACAAGGTCTTAAAAACAAGGTTTATTTTAACACATTAAATGTGCTACCTAGCACCAACTGCCCGTGAGTGCCCGGATTCCATCTGGCTCCGACTCTTTGGAAGGAATGTGACGACGTGTCCTCGAAGCTTAGTCCGCAGATGGACGATTATCGCAACAAAAGACAACACAGAGGAAAAGACCCCTAGGTAAATGGAATTACATTTGCAGTTATCCAGCAATCTTTCTCTGTTTCATGTAAACAGGTTAACTTAACACCAGTGTCTCTGAAGTACTCCCCTGAATACACACACAAGGAAAACTGCACAAGCTATGGAAGTGCCTATGCCTCAGCTGGGCTTTCTATTCTCACTCCATTCCCAAGTGACGATCAGGCAAAGGTACAGTACCCCGTGTTCCCCTAATCTCTGGATTTGTCTTTTTAGTAACTGTTTATCATTTACTATTTAAACCACTCACATACCCATGGTGGAGGACATGAATAAAACTTTGGCTAATATAAGAATACAACACAACAGTCTCAGGTTTTTTTTTTTTAAAGTAAAAGAACATTTAGGTATTAAAGATTTATGAAGCAGAAGATAAATCTACTCATAATTATGTAAAGTGAAGCCTTTTAAATTTATCCTATCCTATCCTATCCTATCCTATCCTATCCTATCCTATCCTATCCTATCCTACCCAAACTAAAATGTGCTCCTTTGAATTTAAAACATTATACAGTAACAAAAGTGTGTCTTCAGAAATTGGATCAATTTATCTCCAGCCACCTGGAAATGTGCTGAGTTACCACGCTGCATCACTATTTCTGGCAGACTTTAGCTAACCTAAATACCAATTCTGAGGGACGGATTTTCAGTTTATTTAAGCAGAACTTGATGGTGAGCTAAGTAAACCTAAGTTGGATTTCAGGCCCACTGGCAGGCAGGCAGTATTTTTCATATTGCAGGCAGCCCATGGTGGTTGTCATCCATGTACCGGATCTCTAAGGACATGCTGGAAAAGTCTGTGAACAGTCGTCCCATGCTGCATTCCCATGCCGCATTCACATCGTTAGTTTACCCATATTGGCAAAGGCTTGGGTAAGACAGCTAAAGTTTTCATGATGGCAATTTCTATAAGAAAATAATGGATACAAAAATTTATTTCTTCTCACCAACTAAGTACTTACTGGGTACTTAGTACTAGGTAACATGCCCAGTAGTGGCTAAACACAATTCAAGTGAACCGTTATGTCTAATGTTTATAGAAGGTTCTCAGCAGACACCCAACACACAACCAACCACAGAAAATAGATACATTAGACATAATTAACATTATAAACCTTTGTGCTACAAAAGATATACTATAAAAAAATAAAACAACAGTCAGCAAAATGAATGTACTTGCAAATCATACATCTGGTGTGATGTATCCAAGATGTGCAAAGAACTCTTACAACTCTACAGTAAAAACACAAGTAATTCAATTTGTAAATGGGCAAAATAGTTCTCTAGACACAAGATACTCAGTATCATTAGTTATTAGAAAGTGAGAATAAAAACTACTACAATGTGATCCTATTTCACACCCACTAAGATGGCTATAGTCAAAAAGACAATAGCAACTGTTGCTAAAGTGATAGAGACATTGGAACCCTTGTACACTACTTGTGGAAAGTGTAAAATGGTATAGTACAGTGGTGGTGAACCTACCGCATGCATGCCACAGCCAACTGTTATCATTAAAAGCTTTAAAAGGTTCACCATCACTGGTATACAGTAGCTTTGGAACATTCCTCAAAAAGTTAAAACACAGAGCTCCTACATAACTATTATGGTTTGTGTCTCGATGTCCTTCTAAAGCCTCACGCACTCAGAGGTGGCGCTTTTTCAGAGATGGCTGGACCTAGAATGTGTGATGCTGGGGTTACGGGTGTGTGATTACTAAATTAGTCCACTGATTGGTTTGGCACCTCCCCTAAGTCAGGTAGCCTAGATAAGAATATAAAAGGGGCAGAAAGAAGCTGCTATTGTTGCTTGTGGCTTCTTGCTTGCTTTTGCTGTCTTCTGCCTGACATGACCTGTTTCTCCTCTGCCATGCCACCCTCCCTTGCAAGCCAACTATGAACTGAAACCTCTACAAACTGAGCCAAATAAACCTCTTCACCTTTAACTTTGGGTGTCACGGATTCTGTCTCAGCAACAAAGCAGTAACACTGTAGGTACGTACCTAAGAGACCTGGAAACATACCCTTATAGAAAGAACTTCTACATGAATGTTCACAACAGCATTACTCATTATGGCCAAAAAGTGAACCGTGAGTAGGATATGCATCAGTGAGATGTACATCTCCACACAAAGGAGTACTATTCGGACATAAAAAGGAAAAGGCTGCAGCATGCTACAATATGGAAACTCCATGGGGCTGAGGATTTAGCTCAGCGGCAAAAGCGCCTGCCTGGCAAGCGCAAGGTCATGAGTTTGGTTCCCAGTACCAGAGAAAACCCAAAAAAAAAAAAAAAGAAAAAAGAAACTCCATGAAAGAAAGCAGGACAAGAAGCCACATAACACGCTATCCATTTATATGACATGTGCAGAATAGGCAAACCCACAAGTTCAGAGATTAATAGTTGCCAGTAGCTGGGAACTAGGGAGATTAAAGAGCGACTGCTAACTGGTATGGGGTTTCTTTTCAAATGGAAACATTTAAAATTAGAAAGTAGTAATGGTTTACACAACTTTTGAATATTACTGAAAGACACTGAGTTGTACAATTTAGAGGGGGTGAATGTTATGGTGTGTGAATTATATCAATTTTTTAAAGAAGCCTTTATATCCAGAAATATAAAATCTTTGTTCCAAAAACATTCTACTTTACAAACTGAACAATAGCTTCAGCCAAAACTAGATCCCTTAAAAGTTCTCCTTTATACCTCTAACAGCAAGCCACATCAACGTTAGTTTCTTTGAGTTACTAATCCTATTACCTTCTTTTCCTGGATTTAGTCCTAACACCTACTCTTGTTCTTTAAATAAGTTACATTTGCTTTTGACTACAATTCACATAATTAGGAAACTTCATGTTGAACAAAATGAATCAAAGCAAATAGAAATAAATGAGGATTACTAAACGTTAGTATTGTTAATTCATAAAATTCTATGTCTCTGCCTTAAACCAGTCATGTTTACAAATGGTGCTGGGCACACAAAATGGATGAGATTTAATTCTTTCCTTCCACAAGGCCTAACCAGGTGTCGTAGATCACAACTTGTATAAAATGTGACTAAGCAGCACCACACAAGGGGAACATATATAAATTCTATTTAATTCCATGCACTTTTCTGACAGACAGATTTGCCTGGTTATACTTTGTTAAAAATTTTTTTTCCTTGAATGACTGGGCCAAGTTCAAAAAGGTTAGAATTGGCCTTTTAAACTCTCAAGGACATAAGAGAAACTTGCAGCTACGTCATCTGTCTGAGGCAATGCTGGTAAGTGTGGGCCAAAATCCACGTATTAAAAACTTAATTTCCAGCCCAAGGCACTGCTGGGAGGCGGTAGAAACCTAATGTGAAGACTACTTAATGGGAAGCCTTCTGGTCACTGAGGGTTCCCTTCAAGGGGATAGGAGGACCCCACCCCTTCCTCGTTTTGTTCTCAGCTGACCTCCACCAAATGATCATGCTAGGAAGTACCCTATCATAGGCACCAGAACAGCCAACCAATCATGGACTGAAATCATAAGCCAGAACAAACCTTTCCTCCTTTTAAGTTGACTGCCTCAGTTACTGTGCTACAATAACTGCTAACACACCTAATTACAACGCTGTATCATTTACAGCTGAAAGGATCACTGTGTGAAAAACCTGCCGGGCTGGAGCTTAGCTGAGCGGCAGAGCACTTGCCTAGCATGTGTGAGGCCCTGTGTTCAGACCCCAGCACTACACAAACAAAAGAGTCTATATACTTTAGAATAAGAAGCCAAAGCAAGTAAGATTAAGTAATCTTAACACTAAGTAAGCATTCATTTCTGAACCCAGTGAATTATCATAGCTATTTTACCACACCAAAATCAAGGCCCTGACCACACACTAAGCCCAGAGACAGTGCCCAGATGACAAAATCTCAGAGGATCAAGAACTGGGAATGTACTTACCGATTTTTTCTTTCTGATGTGTATAATATGAATATCTTCACTTCGATACTCTTCATCATGTTTTTCCAAAGGAATTTTTTCAAAGTCAAAGTCTAGCTGAAGAAGCTATAAATTTAAAAGAAGTATACTTCAAACTCAGTAATACGAGCTGACCTGTGGTGACATAAATCACAATGGCAGTTACCTCTAAAGGAGTACTAACTGGGAGGGGCAATGTAGAGGAATTCTGAGGTCTTGAAAATGTTCCACATATTTATGTTGAGTAATAGTTACATAGATAAGTATGAAAAATGGAGTCAAGCACTTGATGTATGTACTTTTTACATAAGTTTTACCTCAGTAAACATTGCTTAACAATATTAAAATTTTAAACCAGGTGTGGTGATACAGCCCTATAATCTCAGCACTCTGGAAGATAGAGGCAGAAATTCAGAGCCCAAGCCCAACCCGGGCAACTCTGCAACTTAGTGAGATCCTATCTCAAAATTTAAAAAAATTTAAAAAGGGTCTGGATCTAGCCCAGTGTAAAGGCCTTAGGTTCAATGCCTACTACTGTCCTTACTAATCTCAATTACATTTCATTTCAAAAGTTCAATGATATTCTTCAAGAAACAAATGATGTAATGATGCAGGGACGGTTTAACACATGTGTCATGGCTTGTGTTTTAGATGTTTCTCTAAAAGCCTCATGGGGTCATAGGTGGGGCTTTTTCAGAGGAGGCTGGATCCAGAGTGTGTGATGCTGGACTTGATGCACGGTGCAGTGCTAAGATCAATGGCACCAGGACTAAGGATGTGAGTGCTACCTGCCCTAAGGGCCTGGATAAGATAGAAGGGATAGGAAGAGCTGTGGTCATCCCTTTTGTTATCTTCTGCCCACCATGAACTGTTTCTCCTCTGCAATGCCTGTCTGCCAGGTGCCACCCTGCCCCAGAGCAAGATTTTGGACTAAAACCTCTATAAACTATGAGCTAGATAAACTTTTTCCCCTTTAACTTTGGGTGTCAAGTATTTTGTCTCAGCAACAAGAGAAAAGTAACACCATGTTCAAATCAATAAATATAGCACATAAATAGAATGAATAGTAAAAATCACATTAACATCTCAATAGATTCAGAAAAGGCCTTGGATAAATTTAACATCTCTTTATGATAAAAGCTGTGAATAGATACAGAAAAATCATACCTCCACATAAAAACAGCTGTATTTAACAAATCCATAGCCAACACCATATAGAATAAGGAAAAACTAAAAGCACTTCCTCTAAAATCAGAAACAAGACAAGGGTGTCATTCTGACCACTCTTATTCAATACAGTATTTAAAATTTTGGCCAGAGAAACCAGGCAAGATAAAGAAATGAAGTGTGATAACATGAAATGAAAAAGCTTCCATACTACAAAGGAAACAGCAGAGTAAAGAGACAACCTACAGAATGGGAGAAAGTCTGCCAGCAAATAATAAAAATATATAAAGAACTAAAAAAAAAAAAAAAAAAAGAACAATCCAATCAAAAATGGACACATGCTATGAACACTCTTCCCGAAAGAAGGACAAGTGGCCAATAAATATGTGAAAAAATGCTCAATCTTTGGCCATCAGGGAAATGCAAATCCTACCCTGACAATCTATCTCAACCTAGTCAGAAGGGCTATAGTAACTAAAGAATAACAAATACTAGAAATGATGCAAAGAAAAAGGAGCCCTTATATTATTAGTGGGAAGGGAAATTAGTACAGCCACTATGGAAAATAGTGTAAAGGTGAAGGGTTAAAATTAAGCACAGAAAGGTCATTCTTGTTCATAAGGCAGTGTCATGACCTTGCTCTAAAGATCAACGGGGTGCCCAGCAGAGCATCTTGTCATGACCAGAAACTCCCTGTGTGCTGGCCAGCTCTCAGAATGTCTCTTTCCCACCCATCTAAAAGACTTCGATGTTTGTTCCCTCAGGCACTTGGCCAGTTCCTAAGAGCCACAAACTCCCTGCCTCTGGTCACAGTTGGGACACTGCCACTTTTGTCTCAACTGCTATCTAAAGGGCCTCAGTGTTGGGGGAAGGGGGTGTCATCCACAGAGACCCATCCATGGAGAGGATGCACTGCCCTGACCCTTCCCAGTCAGAAGCCTGAAAGCCATGTAACAAGACTCCCAGTTTTGGAATTGGAATTTCAGATGTTGAAGCTCTTCTGATGTGGTAATATAACTTTCTTTCTGTACTTTCTCTTTCTTCTGTGTAACTGTGTGTCAATTAACAGTTAATTAAACTTAGTTTTCTACTGCTTTTACGGTGGTGTTAGAAGCTTTTGTTTGTGAAGCCGGACCTCTAAACTAAGGAAGTGTGACTACTATAGCCTTGTTCAGGCTATAGAAGGTACTTCAAAACAACTAAAAATAGAATATGATCTAGCTATGCCATTCCTAGGTACATACTCAAATAAAATGAAGCCACTAACCAAAGGAGATACCTGCATACCCATTTTTATTGTGGAACTATTCGTAACAGACAAGATAGGAAATCAATCAATAAGTGAATGGATAAAGAAAATATGGTACCCACACACAAAATGCAGTATTACTCAGCTATAAAGAATGCAGGAAAAAGGATGGAAATGAAGTACATCTTGTTAAGTAAAGTAAGCCAGACAGAAGGACAAACCTCCCTGAAAGCAGAACAGAGACTTTTAAAGAAGGGGACCAGAAAAGTGGAAAACAGAAGGTAAGAAAACAGAAGGTAAGAGAGGGTGGATACAGTCACAAAGCATGAAATACACACATATGAAAATGCTAACAGTAAAACCCATAGTTTTTACAGTTAATACGTATTAATTGTAAAAAAGCAGGATATGTAAGTAAAAGAAAAACATGAAAGTAAAAACCCAGAGTAGTCTGTTATCTGAGAGTCATATATTGGCTTTCTCATTAAGCCAAAGTAGTCCTTTCAACAGACAAAAACTGCAGTGCCATATAAATGTATCCTCAAAAAGTTATTTGTAGCCCGGCATGGTGGCGCATGCCTGTAATCCCAGCATTTGGGAGGCTGAGGCAGGAGGATGGCTGTGAGTTCAAGATGAGCCTGCGCTACAAAATGATTTCAAGGCCAGCCTGAACTGCATGGTTAGGCCCGCCTCAAAAAGAAAAACAAAAAAAAGAAGTTATTTGTAATAGGATAAATTTTTGCCCACATAAAGTCTAGCTTACACTGGTGGAAAAGGATAAAAGATACATAAGGCGCTATATGCAACTTCTGCAACTTCCTGTGAATCTTAATTTTTCAAAAAGACCCTGAAAATAGATAGGTACACAGGTAAGAAGTTTCATTAAAATGTAGAGAAAGAGAAATAAAAACTTATCACCTCCACATTTCTACCATGTAGTCTCCAAAAGTAATATATCTATCACTGATATGTTCCCAAAAGCCCACTTTATATTAATAATTAAAAACTTCGGCTGGGGATATAGCTCAGTGGTTCTAGCGCCTGCCTGGCAAGCACAAGGTCCTGAGTTCAATTCCCGGTACCAAAAAAAGAAAAAAAAAACTTCATCAGAAAAGACTGCCCCCATTATTATTTTACACTGTTTTGTGGTTACAGTTTCACTAAATTAGAAAAGAGAAATGAAGTGCCAAAATATAGAGGGAGCCTTTGCAGAATGGTGAGCTGTAGAGGAGCCCTTCTCTCCTTGGGTTTACACAAACTGAATTGTTTTCCCCTTCCGAATTTGACATAAAATGTCTCAACAGTCACACAGTCTCCTTCAACAGTGACCACCACGAACGTCGAATAGAGTACTTACCTCAAAATATCTTTTCTCAATTTCTGGATTTTTCCCCATTGTACGTTGTTCATAGCAACATATGATACAAGTTTCAGATCCACTGAGATCTTTTAGAGTTTTCAGCAGTGGCTCCAAAGACTAAATTTAGAAAGAAATATATTTTTTATGACCTCAAAAATTTTCATTACAGAAGAGACTAGGGGGGTGTGGAGGATTAACTCCCCTATAATTTATTCATCTTTGAATCAATGCAACAAAGCACATGTGTTTAAAACTTCTGTAACTGCCAACCGGCAAACTCTTGTCAACTAATCAACCATCATATTGATTTCACTTTGGAGAAAAAAAATTCAAATGAATTTTAGAATGTCCATGGGAAAACAGAACTGACTTCACTCTTAAAAGTTTCACTTTAATCTAATTTAACATATGATTTAATCAACAATTTACAAAAGTAATCTGGCCCTAGGTTAAAGGTGAGTTGGCTTAATGCTAATTATTTAAAAAGTGATGCCCACAATAATATTTAACTGATATTTAAAGAAAAATCACCCCATGGATCTAATCAATGTGGCCGTAGAACAACGAGTTTTTTACAATGCAATTTTCTCTATATTACGGTTAGCGCATTCAGTGGGAATAGCTAAGGAAAAAATATGGTGACATTAGTTTTTCGTAACAGGTTCAAATATAGAAACGCTTTAAAAATTTTACTGAAGTCTCTAGTAAAAGTGCATATAGCACTTTCCAACATGCTTCACAGGCCCACGTAGTCCTCTCCCTAGCACCTCACCAGCTATACCATAAATACTGTGAATTCAGAGACGTTAAAATGTGAAGAAATACATGCTGTAGGATGCACGAAATACGGTTCATTCACTCACTAACACTCACCTCTTCGTAATATATGCAGTCAGCCATCAGTATGTAGTCTGGCGGTGAAGGAAAGTCGTCTACCTCTGACCCCCTTAAAAATGTCAAACAAGTACTTTTAACTGTTATTTTAATTAAAATACTCTTGCTTTGCAAAAGAACCAAAAAGCCCCCTTCGTATCAACCATGCTTTCAGTAAAATGCAATTTAAAGCAAACTAGAAACGGTTGTCTTAAAACAAGCTGAAAGGCCATACAAACCATTTCAGTACCTTGGCTTCAACAGAACCAGTGACAAGATGCTTGTTCATACTAATGTTCATCTTCAGCAAGTCTTGCAATTCCTCAAGATCGGTGACTACAACATCTGCCCTGAAAGACAACGCAGACTGAGCCGAAGCACAGGCGGGGAAGCCGGCAAAGCGGCGCCCTCCGGCCTGCTCTTACCCAAGCGTGGCGGCCATGAGCCCCACGGCCCCGGTGCCCGACCCCAGCTCCAGCACCGACCGCTGGCTCAGCGAGTGGGTCCCGTCGCCGGAAAACCCCGGCGACTCCAGGTATTTGGAAAGGACAATGGCAGCATCCCAGACAACGCAACCCACGCCGCCGGAGCTATACTGCTGCAGACGTAGCACGGTGCCATCTCGTTTCTCCAAAACTCTCACAAAGCTCCGCAGCGGATCCTCCGCCGGGTCGTCCGCCAAGGACTCTCGGGGAGACGCCATCACCGCGATGCCTCGATGGACCACGCGCGGTGACGTCACACCCGCGCGCCCCGCTTCCTGCCGCGGTGGGGCGTCATAGCGCATGCGCGCGTTGACAAAGCCCGGAAGACAGCTTGACCGGTGCTTGTCATGGCGGTGCGCTAACCGCTTGCCCGCTCCCCTCTATACGACGCTTGGCCTAAAGAGAGGGCTTTTAAATCACGTTTCCAGCCAATACTGTACTAGTATTATCTGCTTTTTAAGGAATAACGCATACTTCAGAGTGTTTTTGGCTATTTGAAGGCTGACAGTTGTTACTGTCTTAAGTCCAGGCAGCTTCCCAGATCCTACCAAAGAAGTTTCCTATGGTGCCCCTTGTTTTCTCTAAGAATGCATAAAAGTGGTTGCTGGAAACTTGCCGCATGCATTTGACAGTGATGACACCCCCCCAAAAAAACTTACCTCATTAAAATTCTTTGGGATTATGTAATTTTAGTCGCATCAAATAGTGAAAATGTGTGTAGTCATACATACCTACCCAGGGGACTCAACAATTTCCCCTTGTTCCATATAATGAAAACACAGATTTTAGAAGTCTTGTAAAAATTAAGACTGAGGTGATTTATTAATCTTGTTAAGAACTCTGATACAAAGCACAGTAAAAAGGCCACAGACCAGTAAATAAACAACGTGGCTTTTGGCTACTTTACAACTGCTGCTACCGCACTATCAGCAAAACGCTCTTTTCATCACTTTGAAGGAAGGCGTCCAAATGGCAAATAAAAGCTTTACTTCTCTGATTTAAAAGTTTAATAAAGCTTTAAGTATTTGCTGGTTTAAATATTACCAATCTAAAAAATATATTTCTTTAAAATTTCAGTTAACATGAGATTTACAGAGAAAGTTGCTAATGATTTTGAAGGCAAGGGAGTCTGTTCCTACGCCATAAGAAATTTTCCTTTGAATTTATGAATTAGTAAAGTAGCAGATTGTATTATAGGCCTCAAGTCACTTAAATTTATATAGGTTATTAGCATTATCTTTAAATATACAATATAAACAAAACTGTACATATATGGCATATTAATTTTGTTTTCCAAAACAATAGGCAACTCATCAGCTAAAGACATCATACTCTGCAAAAACAAAAGGCACATCTGAGATACATGCCCTTTCCCCTCTATCACTGGATTATGTAGTCTTTGTTTACATTTTGACAAAATAAACAGTGCATTCTATTATTTTCATTCTGTTTTTCAATTTTGTCTTCAGCAGCAAATACTGGCATTTAAGACATGGCATTAAAGAGTTTAAAAACAGTGGGTGTTATTCACAATTCTCCTAGATGTAAAAACTAGAAGTAAAAACTAGATGTCAAAGAGGTTTAAAAATCAGTAACACCATATACCCTCTATACTTGTGTAAATTCATGACCTTAAAAAGGCATGTATTACTTAAATTTGAAAAATTCCACAAAACACTATCCCCTTTCAGTGCAATCACTGTCACTTTAAACTGTATTTTAGAGCAGTCTACAGTGCAAATATAAATTCATTATACTGGCCTTATGGCAGCACTGAGGATCCAAGACAAGGTAATGCTACTGATCACCTGAGGATAATGGTGAAGAACTTTTGTATTTTTATTTATCCAATTCTTAAAAGCTTATTTGATCAGTAGCATTTTAAGAGCATTATTTGTAAAAGTACTAAAATACTATGCCTTTTTTGAATAAATTAAAAAACTTTACAAATACTATTCCAGTGTCAATGACTACTTATGGCTAAGGTCATTGAGGAGTTTCTGCATTTTCTAGCAAAGGCAGTCTGTACAATGGGGGGTGTGAAAGCTCCCGCTTGTAAGTCTTTGGTGGCAGTTTTGGTAGATGAGGGCTTGAATTCTGCCGGGGCGGAACAGGGGGAGCTGGGGGATGAGCCAGACTGTTGTGACTTGAATTGAGCACATAGCATCGACGTGGCACCCTTGGAGAGGGCGTGCTAGGAGGAGTGCTTGGTGAATTTGGACATGTAGTAACGTCTCTATGAAGATGTCCCAGTGGAGGTGGCTGAAGATTAAATGGACAGTTTATAAAGTGTTCTGGAGGCCGAAGGGGAATCGGAGGAGGGGTGTCAGGAAGAGGATCTCTTGGCGGTGGTGGAGGTGGACTATGTAGAGGCCCATCAAATGCACCAGTAGGAACAGGAACTCTGGGTTTTACCTTTGGAGGAGGAGGCTGTCTTGGTGGAATAGCAGGTGGGTCATCATCGGATTTCATAGTTCCCTTAGAAAAAAATTAGGTTATACTTCTATTTTCCTGAAAAATTTATAGGCTTTTTTAAAAGTGAAAAATTCTTGTGTCAAGTCAAATCTACAGACTCAAAATAGATTAACTGGTTTAAGTGATAACTAGATTTGTAAATTACTTCCAGTTTAGTTCAGGGCTCAGTTTAAGATTTGCATATAGGATGTTTTAATTGAAGTCTTTAGAACGTAAGGCCTCAGAGGTTGTCCTATGTTACTTTGTTTCATACAGTTCAGAAATTTATAAATTTTAATTGTAATAGGTAAGTGCAAATAACAGTTTATAAACATGAAAGCACATGATGTCAAGGGGACATAGAGTCTGACTTCTGCTTTCCTCAGTAACACTTACAGTAGTGGTTCTCAAAATGTGATCCAGGGCCCAGCAGCACCAACAGCTGTAGGAAACTTGTTAGAAAAGCAAATTCCTGAACTCTACTTCAGATTTACTGAATCAGAAAATCTGGGGGTAGGTTCAACAATCTGGCTTTAACAAACTTTCCAGGTGATTCTCATGCAGCCTTAAATTTGAGAAGACTGGTTGAAAGTTTGAAGAGTCCTTCAAACACTGAGTTCTGACCATCTGTACCAGAGAGAAAATGTTTCTCTGAGTATCTGTGAATTTGTCTACCTTCTTTTTTTTAGGAAAGGTTTTTATGAAGATACACAACTCTTGAAAATTTTCAAATGTATTGTTTTTAACAATACAAATGTTGAAAAACCATGAAGGGTAGCCAAAATATATCCGACAAATTCTTTATGAAAATGAGCTCCACTTTGACGATTCACAACTTTAAATAACTCAAGGCAAATCTAGGTCAGTTGACTACCTTGGAATTTGAAGCATCATGATCAAATTTCTTTCGAGGAGGAAGAGGAGGAGGAACCAGCAGCTCTTCACTTAGTTTATTTAAACTACCACACGAACTGAAGAAAGACTCTGGGGGGAAGAAAAGACTAGTTTAACTACAATTCACAGTACAATTATAAAACAAAATTTCACTGCAACTTGTGCTATGGGACTTGTCATACTGTATGATCTGTTACACAGCTCACTGCTGGTTTACCTATCCTCTATGTTTATCTATGTTGGCTTATTTATCCTCTATGTCTAACAATGTGTATTTATTTTTGTATCTGTGGCACAGATCGCAGAGCCTGGTACCTGGTAGGTGTGATAGCTAAATAAAGGCACACTGCAGTATTTAGTTAAGATCAGTAAGATTCTGCTCTTCCAAAAAGCCTCTGTAAAATCTAAAATAAAACCATGTTTGTATATTATGTAGTAAGTAACTTCCGAAGAAAGACCATCCTAAGCAGAAACCATGTTATTTCTGAAGCAACTGAAGCAACTAGAAGCAACACAGGTAATAAAACTTCCATAGAGGAGACCAAAAAATAGGGCTGTATCATGTAACTCTCTCTGCAAGTCTCTTAATGATAAAATATACATTATAGGATCAATTTAAGCAAATTTACAAAATAATAAAATATCAAGGGAAAATTACCCGACAGGTCAACTGTACACAGAGTAAGAATTATTTTCATTTAGATCTATTTCACCTTTTTTGTATGACTTTTTAAAAATCTTTAATTACGGTCCAACTCCCTATCTGTCTCTCACAGTTACATAGTTATTATAAAGGCAGTAATCAAGTCTTCTTTGTCCTTACACTGAGATTGGGTTCACAGAGTTAAAATGGGAAAGAAGTTGAGGAATTTAATTTTAATCATGCTAACAACTGCTTATGGGACACTCATGTAGAGATTTTTTAGCCAGGTGTGGTGGTGAATGCCTGTAATCCCAGCACTCAAGCGGATGAGAAAAGAGGAACCCAAGTTCTAGGCCAGACTGGGCAGCTTATGAGTGGGCAGAGTAAGCAAAACAAGCAGAAATTCATATCCTTATGGGAGCTTATATTCTGGCTTGGGGAGAGAATAAATAAGTGAAAGTACAATTGCTAAAAATTCTAAGAAATATTCGGTAGGAGAAGGGTGTAGAAATAGGAGGGAGAGGAGTAGTTTTAAATAGGGTGATTAGGGAAGACCTCATTAAGGAGATACTAAGCAAATGCTGGAAGGAGGCAAGGGAACATATGAAAATATGTTCACTCCTCTATGGAAGAGTGCAGCCATATGAAAAAAGAGCATTACAAGTAGAAGGAATAACAAGGCCAAGTCCTGAGACAGTAATGTGTCTTTCTATTCTGGAGGCTGAGTATCCGGAGCAGAGAAACAGAGGAGAGAAGAGTGAGTGACAGTGTCTACCAGACTGAAGGAGCCCAACCCTTACAGCCCTAAGAAGGAAGTTTCAGCTTTTACTCTGAGTAAGATGGAAAGCTTTGCACACAGGCACATGAAGGTCTAACTTACATCCCAAAAGATCGTTCTGGGTTGCACTGAAAACATACCCAAGTAGGTAAAGTGAAAATTTAGGATGCCAGCATATTAAACAGGGTAAGATACTGCAGTGGTCTGGACCAAGGTAGCAGCAGTAGAAATAAATGGTAAGAGATGGTTAATTCTGGACGTATTTTGAAGGTAATCAAGATTTGTTGATGGGTCATACCTGAGGTCTTAGAAAAAGAAAGAAGACATATCATTATGTCAAAATATGTCTAATATTTTTGGTAAGTAACAGGACAGATGCTGTAAGAACTGAGATGAGGAGGCCGTAGGAGGGACAACTTCGAGGGGGACAATAAGAATTTACTTTTGGAGATGATAAATTTGAGGGTCCTTTGGGAGGCTGGGGCAAGAGGATTGCTGCAAGTTCAACACCAGCCTGGGCTACAAAGTGAGCTTAAGGCCAGCCTGAACAGTGCAGTGAGATCCTGTCTTAAAAAAAAATAAAAATTTGAGGGTCCTATCAAATAACTAAATAAAAATGTCACATAGGCCATCAGATATAATGAGCCTAGAGATGAGAATAAAAATTCTGTCTAGAGAGACAAACTTGGGAATGATCACCACTTACATGATGACAAGTGTGAAGAAAAAAATTCAGGAATGGGTCCTAGGGCTTTCCCATGTTAACAATATGGAAAGATGAAGAAGGACCAGCGTGAGAGACCAAGGAGCTTTAGTGAGGTAGAAGAACTAAGAGAGTAAGATGCACAACATGACCTATATGCATGTGACTTTTTCTAAAAAACTTTGAGGTACTTTGTATAAACAGGCAAAGACTTTTTCTTGTTTGCC